TGTAAGCTACCACAGAACAACAAACTGACCGATGAGTGGTGGAAGGTAACATCTTCACAAACCACCTCAAAAATCCTTGCTGGAAATGAGGCGGTGTATCAGAGTGTGAGGGGCCCTGGTGGTTCAGTGGTGGGACTCTCTCCTTCCAGGCAGGAGACCCAGTTCAAATCCCAGTCGATGCACCTCAGAGGCAGCCGCGACCTGCCTGTCAGTGGGGCTTGGGTGCCACTATGATGCTGAACAGGTGTCAGCGGGGCTTCCAGAGTAAGATGGACTAGGAAGGAAGGGCTGGTGACAGCCTTGCAATAGCCGGTGAATGAATGGCTCCTAGTGGTCCGATCAGAAACTGGCCACAGGGATGGTAAGGCCCCAGCACCACTCCGTGCCACTGAGTGTAGGGTCACCACGAATGGGAAGCGGACGCCAGAGCAGCTGACAAGCACCTCCGCCAGGGTTTGATCTGACCAGAAACCACTCTGGGTGTTCTGAGCAGAGGGCATTTAGCATGGGGAGTTGGTTACACAGGCGACCAAGAGATGAGAAGCCATTTGGATGGTTTTCAGCTTCACAGGAGCGCATCGCCTGATCTTTTCCCCCAGGAGCAGCTGGGTGGGTTTGAACCGTGGACCTCTTGGTCAGCCGCCGAGCACCTGGGCTTCTGGGCAACACTAACAAGATCCTGCTTGTTACTGGGCTTGGAGCTATGGATTTGTGTCCTTTGTGTCATGTCTTTAAAATGGCGAAGTGAATCCAACTTAACAAAGCAATTTAAAATCGAAAGTTACAGATTGCAGAAGGAAGTCCCGGGTCACAAGGTTTCTAAATAGTGTTAGGGGCCTGAGCTATAGAACCACTCGCCCGTCCATGCATCTGTCTGTCCAGGCACATTTACTAAGCACCTGCTATATGTGCCAACAACCGTCTTCCACATGAGGGGACCTGGGTCCAATGCCTGGAGAGGCAATTAAACCACAGGAAACCAGAAGAAATGTCATCAGGGTAGGTCTTCATGCTGAAAGCCGAAAAGGGGGGTGGGGAGCAGGAAAGGGACACCCTGAGGGAGAGTCAGGTCAAGGTCGATGGGGGAAGCAGAACAGATACTTTAAAAAGCTTCTAGTGGCTCTAACCAGTGTGGTGAGCTGTCAGCTCCTGCTGGACTGGAACTCCACGGACCCCTGTGCCACCGGGGCCCAGGGAGCAGTGGGCAGGTGCAGTGGGCTTAGCCGGTGGGCGGTGGCCATGGGGTCTCTGTCTGTAGTCACCATGCACACTCCCTGTGGCCCTGCTCATTTGCAGATGGCTGACTGAAAGCAGAGGGGCTGGAGGAGGTGGGAGCCCCCCACGACTCAGGCCTCTCAGCCCCCCACTGGCTGCTGTGTGGGGCTGAGGGTTGGAGCTCTGCAAACTCACTGGGTCTGGCCTGGAGGTGGGGCTGGGCGGACAGCTCTGGGGTCACGTACAGGGCTTAGGATGGGCCTGGCACTGTCCTAAGCTTTGCAGTCAACTCCTCCAAAGGTCCTGGGGAGTGGTGCGCGAGCATCTCCATTTACAGGTGTGGAAACTAAGGGACAGGAAGTTACTCAGCGGGGAAGTGGTGACGGGGGATTCGAACTGGCCGCACCGGGACACACACCCCGCGCGCACTCGCTCCCAGGCCGGCCCGCCCACAGCGGGGAGGGGCGGCCGCGGGCCCTCGGGGCGGGGCCGAGCCGGGGAGGAAGTGCCGCCCGGGGTTCAGCGCGCGCTGCCGCCAGTCGGGCCCTCGGCTCCGGCCATGGAGGCGGAGCCGCCGCTCTACCCCGTGGCGGGGGATGCGGGTCCGCAGGACGACCAGAACCCATTCGGGGTCCCGGATGGGCCCGAGGCCCCGGTGAGCGGGGACGCGGAAGCTGGGGCCCGGGGCTCCCCGCGGGGGTGAGGGCGCCCCAGTCAGGGGGCAGGGGTGAGGGCGCCCCAGTCAGGGGGCAGGGTGAGGGGCAGGGATGGGGGCGCCCCGGGTCGGGGAGCAGGATAGGGGGCAGGGGTGAGGGTGCCCCGGGTCAGGATGCGGGTTCCCGGGGTGCAGGGCCCTGGGGGGCAGGGGTGAGGGCGCCCCGGGTCAGGGGGCAGGGGTAAGGGGCAGGGATGGGGGCGACCCAGTCAGGGGGCAGGGGTGAGGGCGCCCCAGTCAGGGGGCAGGGTGAGGGGCAGGGGTGAGGGCGCCCCGGGTCAGGGGATGGGGTCCTGGGACCTGGGGCTCGGAGGGCTGGGTCTCCCTGGTGGGTGAGGGTCGGCCGGGACGCAGGGGTTCCCCGGGCTGGGGCCCTGGTGCCATCGCCGTGTCCCGCAGCTGGACGAGCTGGTGGGCGCGTACCCCAACTACAACGAGGAGGAGGAGGAGCGCCGCTACTACCGTCGCAAGCGCCTGGGCGTGCTCAAGAACGTGCTGGCGGCCAGCGCGGGCTGCACGCTCACCTACGGCGTCTACCTGGGTACGCGGCCGGGCGCGCTGCCGGCCAGGCCTGCCTCGCGCAGATCGCGGCCTGGGGAAGGGAAACTATGGGGCCGGCCGGCGGCCCTTCCTCTTTCACTTTCCGCCCCGCGGCGCGCAGCTGGGGCGGGAGACGACCGAGGGCAGTGTCCCAGGGCCCAGCCAGAGCCATCCTGTGGGTGGGTGAGAGTCTGGGTGCCCTGCCCAGGGCTCCTGCCTTCTTAATTGGAGGGCTAGGGTCCAGAGGCCGGTGGAGCTGTGGGCCAGGGTGGGGTGGGGGGGTGCCCTGTGTCTGAGGACCCCCTCCCCCCCGCAGACACTTGGCCCAGCCGAGGCTTCCCACTCAGGCCTCAGGGGCCAGGGTCCCTCTGGCTGAGGCTTGCATTCCGGCCTCTCCTGGTTGCCCCCAGAGCCAGGCAGCTCCCTCCACATCCCACCCCTGCCCACAGGCCTCCTGCAGATGCAGCTCATCCTGCACTATGATGAGACCTACCGTGAGGTCAAGTACGGCAACATGGGGCTGCCTGACATTGACAGCAAGATGCTGATGGGCATCAACGTGACACCCATCGCAGCCCTGCTCTACACGCCGGTGCTCATCAGGTGGGCCGGCACCCCGCCCCAGGGGCGCAGAGGCTGATGCTCCTGTGGGGAGGGAGGGGAGGACCTGGAAGGGTGAGCGCAAAGGGGGTGGGGCCAGGGTTTGCCTTGTGTGGTTTCAAAACCCCAAACCAAGCTCATTGCTGTGGAGTGGATGCTGACCCAGGGCCATGGCAGGGAACCGCTCCGTGGAGTTTGCTTGGCTATAATCTCTACAGAAGCAGATGGCCAGGCCTTCCCTCTGGGGTGCCAGCAGGTGGGTTTGAACCACCAACCTTTAGGTTAGGAGTCGAGCACAAGCCCTTTAGCCCACTCAGGGACCTCCATTTGGTTTCGAGGAACAGACACTCACTCAGGCCCCTTCCTTTAACTTGCCTGTGCCCTGTGTGGCTTCCTTCTCCTGGCCCCCTCCAAGGCCACCAAGACCTTGCGTGGTCAGGGCTCTGGAGCACGTGGAGGGAACCTGACCAGCCAGCCAGCCCCAGGCACCCATCCCGGCCCCATCATCTCATTCCCCCGGGGCAGAGGGGCAGTTCTCACAGGAAGGGCCATGGGCTGGGCATGTGCCCCGTGAGTCACTTGACTCTAGTCATGGAGGCATCTGGTCCAGTGTCTCAGCCAATGCAAAACTTTCCACCTTGTACCCTCCCCAGCAAGCACTCGGTCCCTGCTTGGATGGGAACCACCGAACCCTGGATAAACTGGAAGTGTTTTGTTCCCCAACACACACACCTTATTAAAAAAAAACCTGTATTCCTATTGCCCCAGCAGCCAGTCAGCATTAGAAACATCATAACTAAAATCAGAAATACAAAAAGCCCTCTCACACCTGCCGATGACCGGGCTAGCTCTGTTTCCCACCTGCATGCATGATGGTCCGGTCCTTGCCACTGGAGAGAGAGTGTGTGTGTGTGTGTGTGTGTGTGCGCGCGCGTGCGCGTGTGTGCGCACATGTGTGTGTGCGTGTGTGCGTGTGCATGTGTGTGTGCGTGCATGCACACGTACAATGGCTACTTTTGCTTTCTTGTTTTCTCTTAAGACAGCGTAGCGTCTTCCACAGTTTTCATAGCCTCGCCTTTTGTGATGGCAGTGATTCTGCAGCAATGGGAACCCTTAACCGTGATGCTGGATTGTGTCCACTCTGTGCACATGTTGTTGTTGTTATTTGCCTTCAAGTCGGACCCGACTCATAATGACCCCTCCTTGGGTTTCTGAGGCAGTATCACTACGGAAGTAGATTGCCCCACCTTCCTTCTGAGGAGTGGATTGCCCAACCTTCCTTCCGAGGAGTGGCTGGTGGGTTTGAACTGCCAGCCTTCTGGTTAGCAGTCAAGTGCCTTAGGCACTGCGCCACCAGAGCTCCCTTTGTGCATATAGCTTCTTCCTTTTTTAAAATTATTTTCCTCAAGTAAATTCCCAGCAGTGTCTTTCGAGGTCAGAGGCATAAAGTGACTGCCCGGATCTTGACACCTAGCCCCGTTCACCACACAAACCCAAACCCACACCCACTGCTGTTGGGTTAATTTTGACTCATGGCAACCCCACTGTTTGAGAGTAGACCTGCCCCATAGGGTTTCCTTGGCTGTAATCTTTACGGAAGCAGGTCCCAGGTCTTTCTCCTGTGGCGGTGCTGAGTAGTTTCAAACTGCCCACCTTTAGGTTAGTTAGTAGCCAAATGCAAACTGTTTTTCCCACTCAACCTTCTTTGTCTCTTACGTGCTGGGCAATTTATCTCTGTTATTCCCAACAGCCCCAGGTGGGTGCTATGAACTGCTACCTGAAGAAACTAAGAGGTTAAGTAAATTTCTCAAGACCCGCGGGCAGTAGTAGCTGGCAGACTCAAAGACTTAAACCCAGGCACAGTAATTCCAAAACCCACATGCTTAACCTCTGCTGAAATGACTGGACCAGTTTTCCAAAGGGTTATGCCGGTTGTCATGAGCCCTGGCTGTGTGTGCCATTTTTGATGGCATCCTTACCAGCAATGAATATTTGTATTTTTACTTTTTGCTGGTTTAATACGTCAAAATGTACAATGCATTTATCTGTGGCCTGTTCCCCTCCCCCCCAAAAAAATGTCGAAGGGGCTGATGATCTATTTATTATATAAAGAAACTAAAAGAACCAGGGTGCCATAAATGAAGAGCAGATAGCTGTCAGAGAAAAACAGGCATTAAGCTCTGAGCTTCCTGGAGGCCAAGGCAAAGAAAGGAAGTCTTGGGCGCACACGATGCAGCCACAGTGAATTCCTCATGAGTCCTTTCCAGCCTGACCAGCTTCCATATGCTGATTGAGCCCATATTCCATGTACTCACCACCCCACCCCACTATGGACCGGAGCCAGTGAGGAGGAAGGCCCCAGCTGACTTCAGTGGACTGCAGGAGGAGGAGTGGGCAGAGAGGAAGGGTTGCCAGGGGCTCAGCCCTGCTGCTCACCAGCAGTGGGGTCTTGGTGCCTGTTTCTCACGTGAAGTCCCTTAGAAATATGTGCCTGGACCCTTAGTCACAGCACCTGAGCTCGGGTGAAGGGAGGGGAGGCAGAGAGGCCAGCACACCAATCAGGCTGGATGTGCCCCCAGACCACTGATTGGGGACACCCATCCCGTTATCCCCACTGGAGGTTCCTGGGCCTATAGCTGTGTGGATACAAAGTGGCTTTCCTGACGCTACACACACACACGTACACACGCAAAAACAACCAGACGAAACCCATTGCCACTGAGTCAATTCTAATTCATAGCCGCCCTATAAGACAGAGTAGAAATGCCCTAGAGGGTTCCCAAGGCTGTGATCTTTCTGCAAGCAGACTGCCACATGGTTCTGCTGCAGAGTGGCTGGTGGGTTTGAAGTGTCCATCTCTCAGCTGAGCGCTTTAACCAGTACACCACCAGGGCTCCTCTTTGAGGCTGCATAGCAAGCCTGCATCTGCCGAGGCCCCATCTTACGGCCCTTGACCCCGAGGCCAGGCTCCACGGCCTGGTGAGCTGAGACCTGAAGTGGCCACATCTGGCTTCCGGCCACGGCAGTCCAGGTGGCCTGTGGTGGCAGCGCCTCTCCCGCCGCCCACAGGTTCTTTGGCACCAAATGGATGATGTTCCTGGCCGTGGGCATCTATGCCCTCTTTGTCTCCACCAACTACTGGGAGCGGTACTACACACTTGTGCCCTCGGCCGTCACCCTGGGTATGGCCATTGTGCCCCTCTGGGCCTCCATGGGCAACTACATCACCAGGTGAGCAGGGAGCAGGGAGGCTGGGGGCCTGGCCGAGCCTCTGCTCGTCGCCAGCCTCACCTAGGGGGCTGGGGCAAGCCCCTTCTGCCCTCTGGGTCTCAGTTTCCCCATGCGTGAGGTATGGGCCAGGGTTCTGGGTCTAGGAGGTGGGGGGTGTGGCGGAGCTGAGGCTAGGGAGAGCCTTCTCTCCTGTGATCCAGGATGGCACAAAAGTACTATGAGTACTCCCACTACAAGCAGCAAGGTGACCAGGGGCCCGAGCAGCGCCCGCCACGAGGCTCCCACGCACCCTATCTCCTGGTCTTCCAAGTCATCTTCTACGCCTTCTTCCATGTAAGTGCCCCAGGGCGTGCCAGGCCCCGAAACCCACCTATTGGAGCCCACGCCATGGTCTTCTCGGCCCTCTGGTCCCACCTTCCGCTCTTGAGCCAACCCTGCTCACTTCCCTGTGGAGGTCCTATCACCCACCTGGACCCAGTGCTGGCCAGGAGGAAGTTCTCCGGCACTGGGCACCCATCACCACCACCAGGCTGCCCCTCAGAGGTGGGAGTGCCCCTGTCCCCTCCCAGGCTGTGCCCAGTCCCCTCCCCAGACCAGTATGTCCACTGCCTAACTCTCTGACCCAATGTGACCCAGCTGTCCTCTTGCCCACAGCTGAGTTTTGCCTGCGCCCAGCTGCCCATGATCTACTTCCTGAACCACTACCTGTATGACCTGAACCACACGCTGTTCAATGTGCATAGCTGTGGTGAGTCCTCGCGGGGTGAAGGAGACCTGCTCGCCTCCCCCCATGCAGTCGTCAGCAGACACTAGCTGGACGTTGAGCCCTGGAGGGCACAGAGAGGACACCCTAGCTCACAGCATTCAGGCCTGGGGGGCCCAAGGTCCTACAGGTGTGATGAGCAAGGCACAGGGCCCTGTGGAAGTATGTAGTTGGGACACCTGACCCAAGCTGGGTTATCAGGGAAGGCTTCCTGGAGGCAGTGCCATCTGTGCTGAAGCTGCCAGTGGGATGTCTCCAGACCAGGCGTACAGTCAGTGCTCAGTCAGTGGAGGTCAGAGATAGGCTTGGTGCCCTGAACCTCTGGACAGGGGAGTGAGAAGGGATCTGCGTAGGTGGCAGGATATAGCCACCACCTGTCCCTGGGGCCCCTCCAGCCCCAGGGACCCCCAACCTCCAAACAGCTTTCCAGACGACCCCAGCCTCTGCCTGCCTCGCTCTGCTTCTTTGTGACTGGGTTGACAGTGCCCTGATCGCCGCCTCACGATGACCCCCATCCCGCCTTCCCCAGGCACTGAGAGCCACGGCATCCTCAACGGCTTCAACAAGACGGTTCTACGGACGCTGCCGCGGAGCCGAAACCTCATCGTGGTGGAGAGCGTGCTCATGGCGGTGGCCTTCCTGGCCATGCTGCTGGTGAGGCCCGGCTTGGGGTGAGGGCGTGGGCTGGCCCAGAGTGGGGGATAGGGGTGTGGCCGGCCGCGACCAGCAGCCCGGGGGTGTGGCCACAGCTGAGTGGCGGGGTGGGGGCGTGGTCTGAGTCGAGGCGACCCAGAGGAGTTCTGGGGAAGGAGTGTTAGGTAGCCTGGGAGCTGGCTGGCTTGGACTGAAATGGGAGGTAGAGTCCCAGAGGTCAGCGAAAGAGGCACCAAGCCTGTCAAGGATCGGGCTGGAGATGGGGCTCGAAAGGATTGGCGGAGACCTGGGGACGGAGGCCTGTGAAGGAGTGGGGGGCCCTCGGGTCGAGGGCTGGGAGTGGTGGCTCAAGCCAGGGCAGTCCTGGGAGGAAGCACTAAGGCGTTGAGGGCGGGGCTAAGGCCCGGGGGCGGAGCTGGGAGCGCAGGCTGAGCTGCTTCCTGTGTGAGCGCCTTAGGGGGCGGAGCCTTAGGCTGAGAGGCGGGACTGAGGTCCGGGGGTGGAGCTGGGAGGCGAGGCCGAATTCCATAGGTGTGTGTATTTGAGGGGGCGTGGCCTGGAGCTGAGAGGCGGGGCTGAGCCCCGGGGGCGGGGCTGGGAGGCCAGACAGAGGCCCAGGGGTGTGTGTTTCAGAGGACCGGGTCTTGGGCTGAGACAAGAGGCTGAGGTCGGGGTCGGTGCCGCGGGTCTGAGTGCAGGTTCTCTCATCGCGCGAATCGGCAGGTGCTCGGCTTGTGTGGCGCTGCCTACCGGCCCACGGAGGAGATTGACTTGCGCAGCATCGGCTGGGGCAACATTTTCCAGCTGCCTTTCAAGCACGTGCGCGACTTCCGCCTGCGCCACCTGGTGCCCTTCTTCATCTACAGTGGCTTCGAGGTGTCTTTCGCCTGCACTGGTCTCGCCTTGGTAAGGACGCCCGCGTGGGCTGCCACATACAATACAGGACACCTGGCTCCGCAACGGAGGCCTTTGAAATATAAGTACAAAACGCGTATGTCCAAATCGTCACCGTCCTCCTAGAAGTTATTTTCACATCCCTGAGCCTCGGATTTCTCATGTGTAGAGTGAGCTGATAAGAGAGAATGTCCACTCAAGAGGCCTTATGAGGTTGAAATGGGATGATGTCCCCAAAGCCTTTGGTTCCATGCGAGGTCCAGTCCTTGCTGTCTGGGGCACTGTCCAAGCATTTGGCTGTCCCCCCAGAACCTTCCCAGGAGCTGCGGAGGGAACAAGGGGGTAGCATCAGGGTGGACCAGAGAGGGTGGAGTGCAGCCTAAGGCACCTGGTGTAGGGAGGCCCAGAGCTGGGCTAGCTGTCAGACACCACCCCCTGCCCCCGGCCCCTGTCCCCCAGGGCTATGGTGTGTGCTCCGTGGGACTGGAACGCCTGGCCTACCTCCTCATGGCTTACAGCTTGGGGGCCTCCACCGCCTCAGCCCTGGGCCTGCTGGGGCTGTGCCTGCCACGCTCGGTGCCCCTGGCGGCCGGGGCCGGGCTGCACGTGCTGCTCACTCTGGGACTCTTCTTCTGGGCCCCGGTGCCTCAGGCCCTGCACCACAGCTGGATTCTCTATGGGGCAGCTGCCCTCTGGGGTGTGGGCAGTGCCCTCAACAAGACTGGGCTCAGCAGTGAGTATGGTGTGGGCACTGGGGTGGCAGGTAGGGGACATGGATGTCCCGGGAGACATGGAATCCCGCAGTTACACTGGGGGACATGTCCTGTGGACATGGTGGAGATAGGTGGACTTTCCTGTGGGTGCTCCAGGGGTGAAAGGGTGCCCCATGGAGAATGTAGGGAAAGATGTGGGGGCCTGTGGACACCCTGGAGGCAGGCATGGGAGCCCCATGAACATCTTGTGGGTACCCTAGTGTGGGCATAGGGCCTTGTGGCTATTGGGGGTCACTTGTGGATACATGAGGTGAGTGGGAGGCTCCATGGACACCCTGTGGGGACAGTGTGAACAAAATACTCAGGGCCCCCCACTCCTTCTTACTGAAGGACAGGGCCCACCTCTGTCCCAGGGAGTTTGAGTAGCAGGAGGAGGCCCTGCCCGCATCCCAGGGGGAGCACGCAGACATGGCATTTTATGGAGGGAAGCCAGGAGTGGGCCGCCAATGCCAATGTGGAGTGACAGAGCCCAGGCCCCGAGTCTGAGCTGCTGGGGTGGGGGCCCAGGGGAACGTGGTTCTGTTTGGAGAAGGTGGGAGGGGACAGAGTTCACTACCCACGGGTGGGCATATGCGGTGGCACACAGCCGGTGCACACAGGCCCAGTGTCGTGGGTGGTTCTGACTGGGTCAGTGCCTGGGCTGCAGGCACTGCGACTCCTGCCCCACCGTTCAGGAGTCAGGCCCGCCCATGTTGCTGGCGGATGGAGCCTGGCATGCTCGCCCACACTCTACTCGGCCGGCCGTTTCATGAAGGGGCAGCCAGCTCTGGGCAGGTCCAGCCTGACTACCTCGGACCCACTGTGTGTCTGACTCCTGCCCGGCTCCATGTCCCTCCTCTCCCCTTGTAGACCCTGGGGGCCCCGGGGCCCTTCTTTGCAGCGCTGTGGAATAGTCACTCTGCAGAGCTTCAGGAAGGGAGTGTTAATGTCCTGGGGGTCTGGCGAGAGGGTTAGCTGCAGTTCCCAGGGTTTGTGGGAGCTGTTCAGGCTTTCTCACACAAAGACCTCACAACACATGTAAGATGGGGAAACGGGCTCAGGAGTCAAAATGGGGTCCGCTTCTCTGTACCTCTGGGCTCCCAGCTCTCTCCCCTTAGTCTGGAGGTCTAGAATCGGAGTCCCCTGACTCCCTGTCCAGTGCTCTTTCCGCCCTCTCTGGTTGCCTAGAGACAGAAGCTCCTCCCCCACTTGACCTCGGGTGTGATTTGCCTAAAAGCCTGTTGCTGCCGCCTGAGGCTTACCTGGAGAGGAGGGGAAACAGCCCCTGTGGGCCTTGCAGTCCTCTCCTGGGGTCTGGGGCGGGATGAGACTGCAAATGGCTTTCAGCTTTGGAGACCCACAGCGGCCTCCGCTGTCTGCTCAGCCGCTTGGGTAGCGGCAGTAACCCAGATGTCCACTAGGGGGCGGGCCAGGACCGGCTTACAACAGGGCTTCCCCGTGCTTCCGGGTCTGGGTGGGAGAGTCGCAGGTGGGACCCAGCCGCCTCAGGATTGCAGACACCTCCCCCCACCGCCTGCAGCACTCCTGGGAATCCTGTATGAGGACAAGGAGAGGCAGGACTTCATATTCACCATCTACCACTGGTGGCAGGCTGTGGCCATCTTTGCCGTGTACCTGGGCTTCAGCTTACCCATGAAGGTGAGGTGGAGGAAGTGCGGGGGACGGGGCCCTGGGTGTCAGGTGCCCCGCGTGACACCACCAGTAACAGGTCCTTTCTGAGAGCCTGCCCTGCCTGCTCCCTGACTCCCCAAGGCCCCGTGAAGGGCATCCCTGCCAAAGCACCAGGCTCTGGGCCAAGGTCCCATTCTCCCAACGCACTGGGCACCCTAAACCCAGCCCTGCACTCACTGCCTCCCTCCTGCTGGACTCAGTTTACCCGTCTCTGAAGGGGCTCACGGTCTGCTCTTTCCTCGGAGGTTGTTTGGTAACTTGTTCAGACATGGGGCTCAGGCTGACTCCCATTACAGCCCGTGGTGAGGGGCAGGGAGGGCGGGTTCTTCATAACCTGCTCGAGGGTCCCCCCCACACACATCACATCACTGGTGACTGTGAGAATGGTTTCAAAGTCCGGACCAACATTTTTTTAAAAAATGAGCTACAGTAGAAAATAACAGGGTACGTGCATGCACAGAGGAGCCCTGGGGGCACAAGTTAAGCCCTTGGCTGCTAACTGAAAGGCTGGTTGGCGATTCGAACCCACCCAGCCGTCCTGTGGAAGAAGGACCTGTTGATCTCCCATCAAGAGTCCAAATCAAAAAACCAAACTCACTGCCATTGAGTCAGTTCTGACTCAGCCCAACCCCACTGGGTTTCCAAGGCTGTAAATCTTTCAAGAAGCAGACTGCCTCATCTTTCCTCTCAGGAGCAGCTCATGGGTGGGAATCACTGACCTTTCGGTTAGCAGACCACCACACCACCAGATTGCCAACGACAAGATTAAAACGGGAGCTCTGGGGGCGTAGTGCCTAAGGCATTTGACTGCTAACCAGAAAGCTGGTGGTTCAAACCCACCAGCTACTCCTTAGAAGGAAGACTGGGCCATCTACTTCCATAGAGATACTGCCTCGGAAATCCAAAGGGGGTCGCTATGAGTCAGAATTGACTCAGTGGCAGTGGGTTTTTGGTTTTTAATGCCCCAGTCAGGCCCTCAGATGAGCCTGCAGCCTCAGCTAAAGTTTGACTGCCATCTAATGACAGACTTAGCCAGAAGCACCCCATGAAGTCAGACCTCGATTTCTAGGCACAGACCTAAGATAATAAATGTGCGTTTAAGCTGCTCAGGTTTTGGTTTAAGCTTTACTTTTGTCTCCTGAAGGAGCTTTGGTAGTGTAGAGCCTAAGGCACTTGACTGCTAATCAGAAGGCTGGCCGTTCAAACCCACCAGCCACTCCCGGGAAGGAAGGTTGGGCAACTTTTTTTCC